TGCTTTCCACTCCTGGCAGCGAAACCTCATTTGCCCAGGATCACAGTTCAATAACAATGAAAGACTTGAGGCAGGAAGGTGCACAAAGCCCCAATAGCCATCTTAATCTCTACCTGGGACAGAACCACTGGGTTTTGCAACCTGTCACGGTGCCCACCATCAATGCCTCATCCTCTTTGGAGTGCCACTTGAGGTGGGACTGAGGTTTGGTGGGGTCTGTGGGCAGGATGTGGGAGGCTTGAGAAGCTGGGCTCTTGAAGCTCTTGCTCCAACTGGCTTCCTGAGGAGAGAAAGTCAACACAATTACGGTTGGTAGAGAAATCAATATGTCAGGGTTTTAATGGGAGAGTGGGCAGAGCTGAGCTTTGGCCCCAGGAGGCAGCCAGCTGGAGGGGGCAGGGGGCATCCTGCTCTCAGAAAAGAGTTCAGACCAGAGGCATTTGCTCATTTCATTTTAGAGAGAGATAAACCGAAGTTCTTAGAGAAACCAAGACCAGCAGACAGGTGTTGTCTGGGCCTAAACACCTGCCTCTCCTGTGTTGCCACACCCAGAGTAGGCATACAGTTAACCCATACTTCCCCTTAGTTTTCCAGCACCCAGCATGGCAGTGTTGCTGTCAATCTCTGCTTGGAAAGGGAGCAAGCGAACATAGTTGTTCACACTATAGTCAAAATTAGTTTTATTCCTTTGGTAAACACTCATCCCAGAGCATAGCGTTTGCCCTGGAAAAGCTCTTGCATATGCTACCATAATACATGAAGGTGGTGACCAACAGCATGGTGCCCTCAGAGGAGGGGAGAGTTTTTGAGCCACGCCTTGAAGGCTGGCCAGAAACTTGCTGCCTGGCAAAGGGAGGAATATCATGGGTTAAGACGAGGGGGCTGAAGGGCCAGAGGACATATGAGTGGCTCAGAGGTGTGGGAAGGGCACTGACTACAGAGGAAACCTTATGAAGTTTCAGAAGTTTCAGGAGCCCAGGCGGGAAGTGTGGCCACAATTGAGGAACTGCAGAGATTGATGTGGTTGGAATTGAGGGTGGGGCAGAGGAAAGAAGTGAGACTTGAGGCCTGACCAGTTGGCAGGAGCCAGATCATAAGCCTTGAATGCCAGGCTTGATCCTGAGGACAGCTGGGAGCCAGAGAGAAGTTTAAGTCAGGGAGGAGCTACCTAGTTTTGTGCTTGGAAAGGTGGCCCTTGTGGGCTGCAGGGGGCTGCCGTGGTAGTCCAGCCCTTCCCCTGCTCCCAGGGGGATTTGTGTTTCTGAAACACCTATGCTGAGTGAGACTTGAAGACAAGCCGGTGCTAATGGAGGAACTTCAGGCAGTGTCATTCAGTCAGGGTTGTATTTTGGGCCTGTGGAGCTGAGTTCCCCAGGAGACCGAGTTCGGCTGAGGCCACTCTCTAGACAGGAGGCCTGCCTTGCTTTGTCCCCAAGCCGCTGTCCCTGTCCCCTGGGCCTGCAACCCCCTCCCCCAACAGGGGAGGCATTTCCCGCCAGCCCGGCTTCCATTTTTCAGCCAGTTCGAAGCCTTGTGATTTCCCCTGGCGGTTGGGGAGTCAGCTTCCCCCTCAGCACAGATCATTTGGAGCAGCCAATGGGTTACTTCTCCTTTAAAATAATTTTTTTTTAAATTTTATTTTTAGGATAAGAAAAAAAAAGTTGGAGGAAAGACGTTTTAGAAAATTCCTTTGGTGCGGAATTAATGGCTTGTGAACGTCAGGCCAGGCAGGCAAGAGCCGGGTTCCCAGCATGCTCTTCCCTCATCCTCTCTGCTTCCCTGGTTCACAAATCACCCAGAGCTGGGTGCCCATCTGGCTTTTCCCAGGACTCCCCCACCCTGGCTGGCTGGGGCCCCCCATCCCAGGGCCCAGGGCTGAAAAACTCAAAGGTGTCATCGGGGCCTCCCAGGTCTCCCTTCCTTCCTTCCCACACTTCCCAGAGCTCAGGGAGGAAAGTCATGTCCCCCAGGCAAGGTTTACAATTTTAATTTTAAAACAACTTATGGTTTAATGACACAAATAATCCATATTCAATGAAGAAAAATTATATAACCCTTAGGAAAGGCATCCCTCATGGCAGGACTCAGGCCTGAGTGCAGACGGAGCCCACCTCACCTCCTCCCTGCAGCTGCAGTATGGGCCTGAGCCTGGGCCTGGGCAAGGCAGCTGGGGAGATGGTTCAGCATCCCCTTTCCTGGCCGCCCCCAACTCAGGTGTACGCAGGATGAAGTCAGGTGGGGCAGATCTGAAACTGAAAGATATGAGGGAGCCAATTACAGCTGACCCTTCAACAACACAGGGTTGAACCACACAAGTACACTTGTATGCAGGTTTTTAAAAATAAATACACGATTTTTTAAAATAAATATATAGTCGGCCCTCCATAACCCTGGGTTTCGCATCCATAGTTTGAACCAATCTTGGATCGAAAACAGTATTTTCCATCTGTGGTTAGGAGTCCAAGGATGTGGAGGGCCATATGCCTTGTTCTATGCCATTTTATATATAATGGACTTGAGCATCTGCGGATTTTGGTATCCGCAGGGGATCCTGGAACCAAGCCCCTTTGGATACCGAGGGACTTAGTGGGGAGTCAGAAGTTAAACACAGATTTTCAATTGCATGGGGGTCAGTGCCCCTAACTCCTGTGTTGTTTGAGGGTCAACTGTATATTACAGTCTGGGGAATGGCCCTCCAGGCAGAGGGAACAGCAAGGGCAAAGTCCCTGAAGCAGGACCCCGCTTGGAATGTTTGAGAAACAAATTCGCCTGGTGTGGCTAGAGTGGGGGAGTGAGGGCCAGGAAGTTGTAGGATGGGCTTGATGGTCTCAGGGGCCTGATGGGAGGATTTAGGATTCATGATTTATTCTGAGTGTCACCATCAGAGAGTTCTAAACTGGGAAGACCTGCTTTGCATTTCAAAGGGCTTACTTGGCAGCTATGTTCAGGGGGAAATGTTGAGAGGGGGCTTAGAGAGCCTCCTAGGTGAAAGGCTGGCCACCTTAAGGTGGTCCCAGGCAGTGAGGTTCTCAAGCTTTCGAGGTTGGCACGATTTGTCCAAAATTCCACTTTATAGTAATAATTGTAGTGACAAGCATATCTGAAATAGCAACAGTATCAGCTAACACTTCTGGAGCATTGACCATGGGCCACACCCTGTGCAAGCCCTTGACACTGAATTATCTCATCCCAGCCACTCTGAGGGAGGTGCTGTGGATGTTCCCATTTTATAGTTGAGTAAACCTCATGAGTCTCAGAGAGATGGAGTGACTTGCACAGGTCACCCCCAGCCATCCTGTGGAAGACCACCCACTCATGGCTTCTGGTGCAGGGCACCCCCAGCCGCACCCTATCTCTGGGCTCAGGGCTTGACCCCCAGGGATGTGCTAGGAAACAGCCCCTGCCCAGAAACCCATCCAAGTATGCTTATTCGCCCAGGGACAGAAGGACCTGGTATTTATTGTTTTCTTTTGAAAACTAACTGTGCTTTTGTGCAGAACCCACATGTGCACATAGTCAATGGCTTGGGCTTGCAAAAAAACACAGATAAGGAAAAAAATGTTCTCCAAAGCGGCACCCTAAAGCCAGTTCTGATGCTACTTTCTGGTGACCTTCTGAGTCTCTGCTCAGAGCCTCCATTGCCTGTATCCTGGCATCTGGGGGCCGAGTTATGAGCTCAAGTCTGCTACCAGATTCAGCCCTAGAGGCATGGCATTGCAGCTGGTGATGTCAAGCAGGTCGTCTCCCCTCTGAACCTCAGTCCCCCCATCAATGACATGTAACCTCAGAGGGCTGCCAGGATTCAAGGAGTCGATGCCCAGGCCTGGTCCATTGTCCATTCCCAGTAAATGTGGCCTATTATGATGTTTACTATCATGACTTTTTCTTTGTTTATGCACTTGTTTTACCAAAATGGCCCCACAATGTCCTGTAACTTTTCTAAGCCAGATGTGTTTCTGTCATAATGTGGTCACATTGTGGTCACACTGAGGGGTGGCAATGGCTCTCTTGGATGATGTACCATAATTTCCATGCTCAGTCTTGTCAGACATGAGGTTGTGTCCCTTGTCCACTCTTCTAAACTATCCCTGTGTTTGCCTTCTTGTGAATTTGCCCAATTATCGTCTCAAACATGCTTCCTGGAGGTCTGTTTTGTATTTTTGTGCAAATTGCAGAAGGAACCTTGACCAACAATACCTAGAGAGAGGTGGGAAAGGTGGGAGCAAGTCCAGGGAATGCCCAGGGACTGTGGTCACCAGCCGCAGTTGTCCTGCTCCCATGGGGTAGAGCTGATTTGCCACCTGAGGTGGCACTAGGCTGGCGTGGAGGGTAGGCCTACGCATTTGGACACAACTGGCCTTGCTTTGCCCATCTCTCATGTGGGTAAATGATAGGATGTATGCTTGAGAAAAGCCTCAGTTTGCAGGGGGCCTCAACCTGAAGTCTGGTGAGCTGCTAGGAACTTGGGGGTGGTGGTGCTGGGGTCAGATCAGGGGTCCTGGGAGGATGGAACCCCATGGTTGCATGGTGGAGACATAGCCAAGGCAGGAGAGATGCCCCGTGGGTATCAGCAGATAAGTTGAGGCAGAGGATGGCTTCAGGTGGTCCGGTGTAGTTTGCTCTGCCTGGCTGTGACCAGCCTGGAGGGGCTGCTCCAACAGTATGAGAGTGTGTAGGCCTCACCTTGTCCTGACTTCCCTAGCCCCCCACATACCTGACCTTGTCCCCTCACTAGCCCTTTTTACCCCCACCAAAACTCCTCTTGTATGGTTTCTCCATACCTGAAACGTCATCTTGGGACAACTCTGTGACTAAAGCCAAGGTCAGTCTGGGGTCAGGGACGTGACCCTGTTTATGTTTGGGTCTCAACCCAAAGCTGGGCCTATAAAGCAGGAGCAAAACTTTAAAGCTCTGATTCTGAGGCCTTAGATACATACAGTGCAGCCAGGGAGCTGAAGAAGGTTCCAGAGCAGAGGTCTGATGTGCTTTTTCTCTTCCAGCTGCAGCCGGAGCAGTTGGACTGTGGGGCTGCCCACCTACAGCACCCACTATCAATCCTGCAGCCCCTGAAGGCCACGCCTGTGTTCCGAGCCCCGGGCCTCTCCTCTGTGGCCGTAGCCAGTGTCAGCAACTACACGGTGGTCTTCCTGGGCACAGTTAGTGGGCGGCTGCTCAAGGTAGGGCTATGGTGGGAGCCTGAAGGGTGAATGGGGGGTGAGAGGCCAGTTGGAGGGGAGGGAGGGGCTCCAACCCAGGCCAGGTCCGATATTAGCCTTTATTGTCTCCTCTTTGCCTGGCACTTTACAATTTACAAAGCATTTTCACATCTGTTTCTGCCCCTCTCGCTCGTAACAATAAGTGCCCCGGAGGAGGAGGCAACCAGTTGCTGAGGGCTGGCCCTTCTCTCAGGGTCTCTGGGACTGGGGCTTTGAGGCACACGGATCTGAGTTCAAGTCTTGGCTCAGCCACTTGCAGGCTATTTGATCTTGGGCAACACACTTTCTCTTTCCGGGCCTCAGTTTCGCCATCTGTGAAGGGCTGTGTGCCCTGCCTCTTGAGACAGTTGTGGGGCTTTGATGGGGAAGGCCGCAGCCTGGCAAATAGGGGCTTTCATCTTATCTCCTCCTCCTCCCCACTTGCCACCCTCTGAACACCCCCCTACACCAAGGCGACTGGTTTCCAGAGGTAATAATACCTGCCTGAGATTCCTGTATCTGGGAAAGATGAGAGGAATCTGGTTCCCATTATGGGGCAGGACAGGCTTGGTGGGGCCTGTGTTGGGCCTCTAGGTGAGGACCTGGATCTCCCCCTACACACCCCATCCATTTCTCACTCCCTGCCTGTTGGGAAAGTCAGCTTCATGGCACGATTCCAGCGTGCACCAGGCCCTGGCCTAACTGACTCAGATTCTATAATCCAATTCCCTCAGCTGCCCAGGCAATGCCTCGGGTGGGGTGGGGGTCGGAGCCCAGCTCAGCCGGCTGAGGACCCTTGCTGGCCCACAAATAGCAATGGGGGAAATGCCAGGCATGGGAGCAGGGAGGAGGGCAGGGGAGTGTCCTCCTCAGCCTTTGAAGCCCCTGTTGAGAGTCCTTAGACAATGGGGCTCATGTTTTGGGGTTAGATACTTGGATCCAGATCCTGGCTCTGCCTCTCACAGCTATAGTAACTCGGGGGCAATTGCTTCTCACCCTGAATAAGCCTCAGTTTCCTTATCTGTCATGGGGAAAATGGTCCAGGACTGTGGTCAGAGTCTACTGTGACGATGCCTGTGCACATGGAAAGCAAGGAGTCTCCCCACCCCCTGCCTATGAAGCTGTACTTATGAGGCACCCACTGTCTACCCAGTCTTGAAGGGCACATCATAGGCATCTCATTTAATTCTCACACCCCTGCAAGGGAGTCAGAACTGTGATCCCCATTTCACAGATGGGGACACAGGCTCTGAGAGGGAAAATGACGCCAAGTCACACAGTAAGAACGTGGTTAAATTCAGGTCCAGCTGGCCCAGAGCTCACACTGTCTCTTCTCAATCCAGTCTTCACCTGTCACCCTGTGCTGTGCAGAATCTCATCTTCTGCCAATTCTTCCCCTGTGCAACGCCCAGTTCAGGCCCTGGAGCACAGTGGGTGCTCAGTAAACATTTGAAAGAGTAGAAATGAATTGAGTGGTAGATGCGTGGGAGTGGAGCTGTGGGTAGCATACCGAACCTAGGATCAAACTTGCCAAACTGCCTGGGACAGAATCTGCCAAAAGGTCACCTGAGGTTTCAGGGGTTGGGACAGAGCCTATGGGAGCCTGAGAAGAGAGTAATTTCAATTTGGTGTGTGGAGGCCACGTGGGCAGCTTTTCTGGAGGTGACATTGGGAGGACAGAGCTTGGCCTTAGTTGCACATGGGTCGAAAGGGGACGGGGAGAGATGTTCCAGAAGGAAGCACAACAGGAGCAAAGGCCCAGAGATGGAATTTGTGAGTTGGGAGTGGGTGGAGATGAGGCTGGCAGAGTAAGTTGGGGGTCAGATCATCAGGGCCTTGGATGCCAACTCAAGTTTATTACATAAGCAGGAGGGAGCCACTAAATGGTTTGGAGCCCCCAGAGGAAGGCCGAGCAGTAGGAGGTCCCAGGGAATCATTGACTGCTGGTCCCAGCTCAGGGCCTGGTGGGGCCTTGGCAAGATGGCATGTTGGGAATGTGCGAGGCCAGTCAAAAAAGAGCAGTTTGATGGGACTCTGAAGGGCATTGTTGGTTCTCAGGAGGACAGGAAGAGGGACTCTTAGAGCCAGAGGAACTTTTAGGCCCCAGCTAGTCCTCGTTCTCCTGCCTGGATGTTGGACCCCAAACCCCAGCCCTAGCCTTGGACTCTGGACTCAGACGAGCTGAGGCTTGTATTGTGACCCTGAAGCATCTTCACTTTATGACTCTTGCCAAATCTCTCAGCCTCTCTGGGCCTCAGTTTCCTCATCTGTGAAATGGGTACGAGAGGGAAGGTATGAGAGTGTGACCCCATCAGCACTTTGTGTGCATTTTTTTATTTAGTGCTCCCCACAGTCTTGTGGAGCAGGGACCATCATTAGTCCCATTAGTTTAGGGAACAGGCCCAGAGAGGGGACGTGCTTTGGACAGTTTGTCCATTTGTAGAGCTTATAAATGTCAAAGCCAGAATTCAAACCCAAGTTCTTGCATGATGCCAAACAGCCTCCCAGAGAATGTTTGTAAGCTGTAAAGCCCCTGTGTGTTCACAGGGTGGTATATGCTGACGAGGAGCAGGGAGGGAATTCCTGGTGGGGGCACGGCAGAGGCAAAAGTGTAGAGGCCGGACCCACTCCCCCGACAGGTCTGTGATTTCCTACCAGTCCTGGAAGGGCCCAAGAGTGGATAGGGAGGCTGTGCCCCAAGTCTGGATCAGGGCCCCCCTATCGCTGGGGAGCAGCTCCCCGGTGTTTGGCCTCCCCCTGCCATGGGCAGCCTCCTGGTGCACCATTACCCTGACAGCCGCCACCCCCACAGATCAACCTGAATGAGAGCATGCAGGTGGTCAGCAGGCGGGTAGTGACGGTGGCCTACGGGGAGCCTGTGCACCACGTCATGCAGTTTGACCCAGCAGATCCTGGTTACCTTTATCTGATGACGTCCCACCAGGTAAGGCCAACGCCCCAGCCTGACAAGGTCCCAGGATGAGCTGAGCTCTCCTGCTTGCCAGGCCTTTGCACACGCTGCTCCTCCAAGAGCACCCTCTTTCCTCACCTCCTTTGCCTGCTTGCCCTTCACCTCCCAGTGCAGCCATCACCTCTGCAGGGAAGCCTCGTTCCTGTGTTTCCCTGTCATAGTGTCCAGCCACAGTTTCCCCAGCCTCTCATGGCCCTCGCTTACCAGGCTGACTTCTTGGGGGAGGGGCCGGCAGCCCCACTGAGCTGGGCCCCTGACTCTGCCTCTAGATGGCCAGGGTGAAAGTCGCTGCGTGTGCCGTGCACGCCACCTGCGGGGACTGCGTGGGCGCAGCCGACGCCTACTGTGGCTGGTGCGCCCTGGAGACACGGTGAGGCCCAGGGCGGGGACAGGGCCCGGGAGGCCGTGGCAGGGGAGGAGCCTACCTGGGTCCTGACGTGTGTCCTGCCGCCACAGGTGCACCCTGCAGCAGGACTGCGCCAACTCTAGCCAGCAGCATTTCTGGACCAGTGCCAGCGAGGGCCCCGGCCGCTGTCCCACAATGACCGTCCTGCCCGCTGAGATTGATGTGCGCCAGGAGTACCCAGTGAGTTGGGAAGCCAGAAGCCAACTCAGGGGATCTGGGGTGGGGAACCGCCCTTCATCTGGCACCCAAGCCCTGAAACATCAGGACTCCTCTTTGTAGTGCCCCAGGGACCTCGAGACAAACAGTGATGTAGTGAGAGTGACTGAGCTTTTCTAAGCACTTACCAAGTGCTAGAACATGCTGTGTGTGTGATGTTCACCTCCGTTAGACCTCACAGAACTCTATGAAGTGGATGCTCTTAACATCTCCACTTTACAGATGAGGAAACTGAGGCACAGAGAGGTAAACTGACTTGCTTAGGTCATACAGCTAGGAAGTAGCAGAACTGGGATCTGAACTCAAGTGGGCAGGCTCCAGAGTCCCAAGAAGGCGGGGACAAGTCACAGGATGGGAGGTGAGAGGGCTCCCACACCTCACCTTCTTTCCGTTTCCTGGCCCCAGAACAAGGGAAGGGCCCCTGAGTACCAGGCTGCTATTTCTCGTTTTCAGAAACAGATGAATCTGTAGCATGGGAGCAAGTGGCTTCCCCGTTGCCTGTGCCCATGAGGGCCTGGGGCTGCCGCAGCCTACTCCCCACCCATAGGAGGCAGCATCGGGACAGGGATGGTTCTAGGCCCTGACAAGCAGCTGCAGCTGAGGAACAGACAGGCCCACCAGCACTGCCCCCAATGATTTCTCTGAGGCTGGGTGTCCTCATCTGTTGTGGAAAGATGATGGTTCTGATGGGCCAGATGAGGCCTTGGGCTCCTCTGCACCACCTCCCCATTATTCCATATCACAGAGTCTTTCACACACCTTATTTTGACAAGCGGACAGAGCATGCATAGGTTTATCCGTTCATTCATTCATTCATTCATTCGTTAGGATGTTATTGAGCACAGTTATGTGCCAAGAGCAGTTCTAGCCTCTGAGAGTACAGCAGTGAACAAAGCAGACGAATGATGGCTGCACTGGGAGGTGAAGGGCAAGCAGGCCTTTGAGGGGCTGACATGCTTCTAGGATGAGAGAGAATAAGCAAGATAAGATTTCAAGGTGGTGATAAGTGTTATGGGAAAAAAAAGCAGAACAGAGAGAGGGGTGGAGATTGAGTGGGAGTATTGACATTTTAGACCAGGTCAGGTGACATTTGAGCAAAGCTATGAAAAAGGTGAGTCAAGTTGAGTATCTGAGCAGAGGGAACTGCCAGTGCAGAGGCCCTGAGGTGAGAAGATTGGTGGATTTGAGGGAGTATTAGGGGATGGGGTCAGAGAGGTCAGGGGCCAGATCTCCGTGGCTACTGTAAGATCAGCTTCCTTTTGCAGATGGGGAGACTGAGGCCCGGAGGGTTACATGTAGGCTGCAGCCTGGATTCGTAGCAACTGGCCACCTGTTCTCCTAGGGTTGCTAGGCTGGGGGTGGGGCTGTGAGGGGAGGACCAGCCCCCCAACTGCAGGTCCATTGCCTCCAGGGCATGATCCTCCAGATCTCAGGCAGCCTGCCCAGCCTCAGCGACATGGAGATGACCTGCGACTATGGGAACAACATCCGCACTGTAGCCCGGGTCCCGGGCCCCGCTTTCGGCCACCAGATTGCCTACTGCAACCTCTTGCCCAAGCATCAGTTCCCACCCTTCCCGCCCCACCAAGGTAAGCTCTCCATTCATTGGGCTGGGGGGCAGCTGTCTGGGGGCCCTCAGATGCCCATCCCTGAAGGGATGTAATGGTGGAGCCCAAGCGTGGGAGTCCTGATATCATAGTCTCTGAAGTCAGTGGAGATCCCCCGCCCCCTTGTCCTTCTCTCCCTGGCTTCCCTGATCCGTTCCAGACCATGTGACTGTGGAGATGTTTGTGAGGGTCAACGGGCGGAACATCGTCGGGGCCAATTTCACCATCTACGACTGCAGCCGCATTGGACAAGTGTACCCCCACACAGCGTGAGTGGGTTGGGGGACTTGCTTCCGGGTGGCAGGACGAGGTCTTTGCTGTTGGGGAGGCCTTTGAAAGAAAATTATAGTGTCCTAGAGGCAGACAGGACCCTCAGTTGTTTATTCACCAACTCATTTATTCCGGTAACAAACTCTTATCACCCAAGTGCCTAGCCTCTGTGAGCACCTAGTCTGGGAGGAGCAGAGAGGAGCGCTTTGATTACACTTAATTCAGTCTCCTAAAGGTCCCACTTGCCTGTTTCTTCCTTGCATACCTCTTAGAGTGGGGATCTCACTACCCTACAAAGTGCCCAACCCCGCCTGTCAGCTCTGATAGTGAGAAAGACCTTCCCTTGTGCTGGGATCTGCTTCCTAGGTCACAATTACTGGGGGCAGGGGTGAAGTGAGAGGTAGGGAGCTGGGTCTCTGAGGGGCTCCCTATCTTCCAGCTGTACCAGCTGCCTGTCGACACAATGGCCCTGTTTTTGGTGCACCCAGCAGCATGCCTGCGTCTCCAACCAGTCTCAGTGTGCGGCCTCACCAAATCCCACGGTAAGCCAGGTCTGGGGGCTGCCCTCTGCCTCCACTGTTTTATTACTTTTTTTTTTTTTCATTTAATACATTGAGAACATTTCCATGTCAGTAAATTTTCTTCTTTGGCACCAGATTTCACAGCAGTGCTGGGCCCGTCACATGGCAGCACGTGTAACCAATCCCCTGTTGGTGGACATATTACTTCCCGTTTCTTTTTTGCATTCTGATACAGCCAGGGCACTGTGCATGTCCTTGACTATTCCCTGGAAACCAGTTTTTAGAAATGGAATTTTGGGGTGAAAGGTGGCCAGACTTTTTTACACTTTTAGCTTAGCTGTCCTCCAGAAAGCCCGAGCCAGTTTGTACTCCCACTTGTAGTAGGAGGGCCCCTTTCTGCACATCATGCCAATACTGGCTAGGTTTTAATTTTATCTTCAGTATTTCAGCAACCCTAGGAAGTCAAGGAGTACCAGACTTGGGCCTTGAATCCAAGCCCTTCTGTCTTGGAGCCTATGTTCTTCCTGCTTCCCCAAATCAGGTGTGAGCTGAGAGGCTCCTGTCTCGGTCTCCCCGTTAGCACTGGGGACCCCGGAGCAGGGAATACCAGGCTCTCTCTGGGTGGAGAGGGCTTGCTAGCCCCAGGAACCACACGCTCCCAGGTCCTTTTGCTCATGCTAGTCCCTTGGACTCCACAGAGTGACTCTGTACTGGCCCTCCCTGGCGCCATGGGATGGCTGGATTTAATCTGTTACACCAGGGTGGGGTGTGGTGGGAGAGTGAGGAACATGAGGAAAAATACAAACGGAAATGCCTCATACCTTGCCCCTGGTTATGTTCACTTGCAGGGTGGCCTCTTGCCTTTGCTCAAAGACCCTCAAAGGCCATCTCAGCCTTGTATCAGGGGTGACCAAATGGAATTCCTGAGACTTTGGCTGGGGTGGAAATGCCTGGCCAGGCAGGATGGCTGGACCAGGGATGGATGCCAGAGTCCTGAGACCTCAGCTCATCCCCTGTCAGACCTGGCTGCTGGGCCCTTTGTCTAGATTCAGGGGCCAGGGGCCAGGTGAGGTACTGAGTTCCTGCCTGCAGCTCATCTCTCTAGGAAAGGGATGTCCCCATCCATTTTCCAGATGGCACAACTGAGGTGGTCAGTATGACCCTGGCACCCTGGCACCCTGGCTCCCAGCAGAAGGAGGTCACTGGGGCCCCACCTTGGACATGCATCCCAGGAAGCAGCCCCAGCCTCTTGGCACTGGGTTCAGAGAACTCATCAGGAATCCTTGAGGCCTTGTCTGCCCACGGCAGGTGCCATGTCATGGTCTGCACCTGGAATCCTCTGGTCTCAGCCCCTCTTGCCTGAGCCTCAGAAGTGCTTCGAGGGAGGGGAGTCCAGCTAGAGCAATGCTTAACTCAAAGCAGTGAGGCAATAATGTGGGTCTCTAGCACTGGGATTGAGGCCCAGTGGAGGCTGTGTGGCCAGACTGAAAGGCCTTGAGGTCCTGTTCTGCCCTGTACACTGAGATTTCCAGTCGGCCGACCAGGGCTCCTGTTCTTGTTTGGAGTCCACACCTCCATCCAGCCCCTAGCTCAGGGCTATGGACACAGTAGGGACTCAGTG